TTGATAACACATCCCGAGACTCTAATATCGGTAAGTTTCGTTTTATTCTTTAATAATCCTAGTTTCTTGTATATCCGCCATAGCAATTTCGTTTTCTTATCTAGGTTCATATTTGAAAATCGATTTAACTGTCTTCTCAACGACGAAATGACTTTTCGTTAATTTATCCTTAAGTGAAAAAAAAAAGTTAACTAACTGGAGATATCTTGGTTTTTTGTTTCTTTTGTTATGGTTTTTTGAGATAACTTATAAAGCTCTGGTTGACGAACAAAAGCAGTAACTTGGGGCTGGGGCTGGGGCTGGAGAGGTGGCTCTAGGGTAAAAAGGCTCTGGTTCTTGCAGAGGGCATGCATTCGGTTCCCAGCACCCATAGTGGCTCACAACCATCCATTACTGTAGTTCCAGGGGATTGGGGGATCTGACAGTCTTCTGCCTCCCTTCGGCTCCAGCCTTGCAAAGAGGTGCACATACGTATATGAGGACCAAACACTTAAAGCAGTAGTCTTGACGTCTAAACAAATAAATTAGTAACCTATCCAAACTTGTTACTTAAATTAATTTATGCATCTAATTTATATGTTTTAGTCTAGAGTGTTTAAGCATGCTGCACTATCAGATCAGTGTTCCCTTCCAGGAAAACGTTCATTTTTAAATTATGTCTGCCTCCCCTTGGTGTCTCCATTCTATTTCTACCCATGAGCACTTGGGAGGTAATTAGACAACAGGTAACAGATCTTCCTACTTCTGTTCAGTGATAGATGTTTCTCTTGGGAGGTGACTTGAAGTTTTATTCACATTCCTAAGGTTTGGTGGTCCCCAAAAGCCAATATAACTTCCCTAGAGGGATTTTCTCCCTCTGGTTCTTCTAGCTTTCTTCCATATCATTCTCTCGCCTCTTCTTGGAACTGTGTTTGTGCCTTTTCTCAAGCTCTTCCTCTACATCGAAAGAAACGATTTCCAAGAAAACCATAAGATGCTCTTATCTTTTTGCTTTCAGTCTCTGTGGCTTAAGATCTTTGAAAGAAAAAAGATAAATTTATGGTTGGGTCTGGCCAGTACCTACCTAAAACTCCAATGCTCCTAGGGTAAGACCTGCCTCTCAAAACTATAACACAATATCTGAAGAATGCCACAATGACTGAAACACCTAATACAACCTGTTTTCTCTATAAACGAAGTAAGCCTGTGACTCCTGGATGTGGGTGGACGGGTGGCAAAATTATCAATTCTTGGTCCACCTTCTTCACACTACCAGATAAACTGCCTAGAAGATATTATTAATATTGGTTTCATCAACGCTCTGATACAATAAGATACCTGGAATAAAAAATTACTTATTAAGCTGGGCATTGGTGGCGCATGCCTTTAATCCCAGCACTTGGGAGGCAGAGGCAGGAGGATCTCTGTGAGTTTGAGACCAACCTGGTCTACAAGAGCTAGTTCTAGGACAGCCTCCAAAGCCACAGAGTAACCCTGTCTTGAAAAACCAAAAAAAAAATAATACTTATTCAAAATTCTAAATCGGGGTTAGGGGTTTAGCTCAAATGTATTTGCCTCACATCGTTTGATTCCCTACACTCAAAACATATTCACACCACTGCATCTTTGGTTTTGTTCCTGGTACCTGAAATGCTTGCACATATTTGTCTTCCCATTACAACACATTTTAGTAGGCAACTATTCAATTCATCCCTTTTACTTTCTAATTATCTGACGAATTCATTTCTAAATAGCCTAATTAAAATTTAAGTAACAAGCCTATATAAGAAAAAGTACATGTTTTAAAAATTGTCATGTAATAACAGACTGTCTTGCCAGCCTCTTACATGATTATAAACTAAACAACATAATCAAATTAAAGAAAATAAAATCTTTCAAAGTAGATTTTATCAAAAGGAGTATAATTGTATCCACATGAATGAACACCAAAGTTGTGAGACGTTTTTCAACACAAAAATAAACATTTATGTTTTAAGTGGGTATGTTCCTGTTGGAAATAAGTTGCAAATATTATCAATTTAACTTGTTACATTCCCCAGTAACCTACGAGTTGAGAGGCTCAGACATGACTCAGTGATGGAGAACTTTTCTAGCATGTGTGAAGCCCTGATTTCAATCTTACGCCCTCTCAAAATACAGAATGAACAGATAAATCAAAGGATCAATGTAAAATAAAACAACTCAAAACAGTTGATTTCTGAATTGGAGGACAGCCTGGTCTACGTAACAAGTTCTAGGGTAGCAAAGGCTACATAATGAAACCCTGAGTCAATAAAAAGCCAAACAACAACGGGAAAAACCCAAAACAAAAACTCAACAGAAAGATGCATTTGCGTGAATATTGTAGTGGGTGCAGTACCTTCTTCCGACTCTGAGCGCCGCTGTTCACCTACCAGGAGCAAAGAGCCGCCCGCGCTCAGTTGGGATTCTCAGGGTCCAAAGGCTTAAAGCCTCTCTCAGATCCTGCAAACCCGCCCCTGGGCTGCAACGAAAATCACTCCAGAATTTAAGGTGCTACATCTGCGGGAAACCCCTGAGGCCACAGAAAGAAGAAAAGAACGAGGTGAAACGCACAGAGCGCCCAGCGGGTCGGGGAGAGCTTTGCGAGAACTCGGTGGTCAGGAGACAATGGCCGCTCAAAGGAATCTCTCAGAGCGCACCAAACTGGTCCTCCTTTTCCTGTGGTTGCCCTGGGAGTCCGCAGCCCGGCAGATCCGCTACTCGGTTCCTGAAGAACTAGAGAAAGGCTCTTTTGTGGGCAACATCTCCAAGGACCTAGGGATAGAGCCCCGGGAGCTGGTGGAGCGCGGGGTCCGCATCGTCTCCAGAGGTAGGTCTCAGCTTTTCTCTCTGAACCCGCGGAGCGGCAGCTTGGTCACCGCGGGCAGGATAGACCGGGAGGAGCTGTGCGCCCAGAGCGCGCCCTGTCTCCTGAGCTTTAACATCCTTGTGGAAGACAGGGTGAAACTTTTCGGGATAGAGATAGAGGTAACGGATGTCAATGACAATGCACCAAAATTCCAAGCAGAAACTCTGGATGTGAAAATTAATGAAAATGTCGCAGCGGGGATGCGTTTTCCTCTCCCGGAAGCTATTGATCCGGATGTGGGCGTGAACTCTCTGCAGAGCTACCAGCTCAGCCCTAATAAACACTTCTCCCTAGTCGTTCAGAGCGGTGCTAATGGCATCAAGTACCCGGAGCTAGTGCTGGAGCACACCCTAGATCGTGAGGAAGAGGCGATTCACCACCTGGTCCTCGTGGCCTCTGACGGAGGTAACCCTCCCAGATCAGGCACCGTCCTCATCACCGTGACTGTATTTGATACAAATGACAATGCTCCAATCTTCACCTCTCCTGAGTACCGAGTGAATATTCCAGAGAACTTGCCTTTGGGCACTCAGCTGCTAAAGGTAACTGCCACCGACAAAGACGAAGGCGCCAATGGAGAAGTGACATATTCATTTAGAAAGTTACTGGATACACAATTGTTGAAATTCCAACTAGACAAAAATACTGGAGAAATAAAGATATCTGAAAATCTGGATTATGAAGAAATGGGTTTCTATAAAATAGAAATCCAAGCTGAAGATGGAGGGGCCTATCTTGCAACTGCAAAGGTGTTGATTACAGTAGAGGATGTAAATGACAACAGCCCAGAGGTGACCATCACATCGCTGTTTAGTCCAGTGGCTGAAGATTCGCCTGCGGGGACTGTCATAGCCCTTTTAAACGTGCATGATTTAGACTCTGGGCAGAATGGAGAGGTAACCTGTTCCATCTCGGGGAACCTACCATTTAAATTAGAAAAGTCCATTGACAGTTACTATAGACTAGTGACACAAAGAGCTCTTGATAGGGAACAGGTATCCTCTTACAACATCACAGTAACAGCCACTGATGGGGGAAACCCACCTTTGTCAAGCAAAGTTCACTTCACTCTGCAAGTGGCAGACATCAACGACAACCCGCCCACCTTCTCTCAAGTCTCCTACTTTACCTATATCCCAGAAAACAACCCCAGGGGCGCCTCCATCTTCTCGGTGACCGCCCTGGACCCGGACAGCAAAGAAAACGCCCAGATAGTTTACTCTCTGGCTGAAGACACCATTGAGGGGGCACCACTTTCTTCCTACATCTCCATCAACTCAGACACTGGCATCCTGTATGCCCTCTGCTCCTTTGACTATGAGCAGTTCCGTGAACTGAGGGTCCAGGTGACTGCCAGAGATAGCGGGAAGCCTCCCCTCAGCAGTAACGTGACATTGACCCTGTTCGTGCTGGATCAGAATGACAACTCTCCAGAAATCTTGTACCCCACTCCACCCACCGATGGCTCCACTGGGGTAGAGCTTGCTCCCCGCTCAGCAGAGCTGGGCTACCTGGTGACGAAGGTGGTGGCGGTGGACAGAGACTCAGGACAGAACGCCTGGCTGTCCTACCGCCTACTCAAGGCCAGCGAGCCAGGGCTCTTCTCCGTGGGGCTGCACACCGGGGAGGTGCGAACAGCGCGGGCCTTGCTGGAGAGAGATGCACTCAAGCAAAGTCTGGTGGTGGCTGTGCAGGACCACGGCCAGCCTCCTCTCTCCGCCACGGTCACTTTGACCGTGGCAGTCGCTGACAGCATCCCTGATGTTCTGGCAGACTTGGGCACCCTGGAGCCACCTCAGGACTCTGAAGCCTCAAGCCTCACCCTCTACCTAGTAGTGGCAGTGGCAGCTGTCTCCTGTGTTTTTCTCGCCTTTGTCATTGTGTTGCTGGCACTCAAACTTCGGCGCTGGCACAAGTCTCATGCGCTTCAGTCTTCCAGGGATGGATTGGGCGGCGCGCCTGCCTCTCACTATGTGGGCGTGGATGGTGTGCGTGCTTTCTTGCAGACCTATTCGCACGAGGTTTCTCTCACTGCTGATTCACGGAAGAGTCACCTGATCTTTCCGCAGCCCAACTATGCAGACACGCTCATTAGCCAGGAGAGCTGCGAGAAAAAAGATCCTTTGTCTCTGTTAGATGATTCGAAGTGCCCTGTAGAAGATGCCCCTCTGGTGCCAGTGAGTGCTGATTCTACCTTTTCTTTATACAGTTATGGTCAGATTTACATTTAGGCTTGAATCCAGGTGATGGAAATATTAGAACTCTACTTTAAAACCACTCGGTTCCGGCGAAACTTTCCTCTCGATAAAACATTAAAGAGTAGAATCTGGTGTTTAAGATTGTTTTGGAAACTGTCATGGAATCACCCAGATTTTGCCATAAGGTTGTTATGTGTAGCCTTGCAGAATCTTGTGCCTTGCGTTGCTGAATACTTAAAGCGTATTTCATACGGAAGTGTCTGCTGAGTTATGTGTCCTCCTTTATGGGCCAGGTGCTGCAATCCTACCACTTAGGCAGCTCGTTTGAAGGCAAGTTTGTCAAAATTAGGTAAATGTCAGAAACAAATGAATTAGCCCTGCCAGATGCACAAGCCAAGTCCAAGTCTGTTCATTGTAGTTCTTTAAGGACAGAGTCATTATGCCTTTGCAGTTATATTTTCCAAATGGAACCTAAATATACTCCTTGGGGATTTTAAGTTATTGATATTCAATCAACAATTCATAACTACGTGCTTAGAATCTTTATAACCATAGGCATTCCCATTATCCCAGTGGCGTTCCTTTTGCATACAATTAAGTAACATCTTGCTATATGAGAGATACAGCTTTTTAATTTGACTTTCCTTGCCCAATGAGGATTCCAAGAATTTATACTGTTAAATCGAGGAGATTTTGGATTCTCTTTGTTTTTTCTTTTCATTCAAAGTAAACATGCCAGTAATTTAGGCTAAAATGTCAATATGGATTGGGGATGAATAATGCTGTGTATTCCCAAGAACAGAAACTAAACACATGTGATAAGAACATTTCCTCTTTAATGCAGAAGAAAACTCAGAGGAAACCCAAAAGTTCTGGGACTGAACTTAAAAATAAACTAAGAGCTAAGAGCTAAGAGCAAAGAAAGAAATGGCAGTTCTGGAGGGACTCAGAATTTAAGCAAAGATATACATGAAACCCTCCTAAATCAATGAGTAGTGGAGGTATTGGTGAGCACATTTAATTCAAGAAAACAGTGATAATTTCGGTTTGATCTTTGCATTTATTATTACTCTGCAGAAGTTACTAGAATCTGAGACCATGACGGTTTTTATGTCAACACTTGGTTAGCTGTAGGTCCATGGAGGTAAGTTAAGCGCTGGAGTTATAATACTATTTACTCATGGAAACCATTGGTCTACATCTTTGTCCCACAACAGTTAATAGTTTTATGTATATATTTCAGCTCCATTATTTGAAAAAAGCAAGCTTCAACAACACTTTTTGGTCACTGCAAATATTCTATTAAAAATCTTAAGAGCAATGCTGAGCATCCTAGATGATTGAATAGAGCCAGGGCTGCATTCTAAATATGGATGAAAGGGTATTTACTTTTTAACTGACAAAGGTTGGGTTGATGACAAAAGATAATTATCCTCAAAAGGAGTGATGGCCATTTGCTGTGGATGGATGCTTTGGGTAACAGTGGGTGAGACATGGGTTAGGATCTGTGTAACTTCCCTTTACTTTCTTTCATGCCTTTTTATTTGAAGGAAATAGTCTTTCAAACTACCCAAAATGAGTATGTTTTTTCACAAATTAAACATATTTAATATTAAAATTTTCCATGATGAAAACAAAACCAGTGAGAAACAAAATTCAAATATTTCAGCTATCAACTTGCTCTTACATAAAATAAAAAAATATCCTCAAAATATGAAACGTCAGACTGCAATTCCACTCAGAGCCTCTGGGCGCCGCTGTCGGCCAGTGCAGCGCAAGCACCAATGCCCGGCATCCCTCAGTCTCTAGGCTGGAATTTCCTGCGCAGAAACGAATACACTCCAAAGGGAACTCTCACTCACAGAAACTAAGACACCAATTCCCAGCCCCAAACTGGGGTCCTGCTGTCCAGGGACCAATGCATCTCTGCCTCGGAAGACTGCACTCTCTCCTACTGTGAAGATCCAAGACCTAGAGAGAACCCGAGCCAGCAATGGGAAGGAGCTGCGCGCAGAGGCAGCGCCCCGGCCGCCGCCCGCAGGTACTGTTTACGCGGAGAGCGGGGACTTACTGGTGAAGGACCGCATAGACCGCGAGCAGATATGCAAAGGGAGAAGAAGGTGTGAGCTGGAGTTGGAAGCCGTGCTAGAAAACCCCTTGAATATTTTTCATGTCGTTGTGGAGATTGAGGACGTTAACGACCACGCTCCTCAATTCCCAAAAGATGAAATAAACCTAGAAATAAGTGAATCCGTCAACCCAGGGATGAGAACAATTCTGGAGTCTGCGAAAGATCCTGATATTGGTGTGAATTCACTGAGCAAATATCAGCTAAGTCCTAACGAGTATTTCTCATTGTTGGTGAAAGACAATCCTGATGGAAGCAAATACCCAGAATTAGAATTGCAAAAGACACTGGACCGAGAAACAGAGAGCACACACCACTTGGTGCTGACAGCTGTAGATGGTGGAGACCCGCCCCGAAGTGGTACTGCTCAGCTCCGAATCCGAGTAGTGGACGCCAACGATAACCCCCCAGTGTTCAGTCAAGATGTGTACAGAGTCCGCCTTCGGGAAGATGTGTCTCCGGGGACTTCTGTCCTAAGGCTAAGAGCCACGGATCAGGACGAGGGCATCAATGCAGAGTTCACATACTCCTTCCTGGGTGTGGCTAACAAAGCCCAGCACGTGTTCTCTCTGGATTCCATAACCGGAGACATTGTAACTCAACAGCCTTTGGATTTTGAAGAAGCAGAAACATACACGATTGATGTGGAGGTAAAGGACCGAGGATCTCTTTCTTCACAGTGTAAAGTAATTATAGAAGTTCTAGACGAGAACGACAACCGCCCAGAACTAATCATCACTTCCCTCTCTGATCAGATTTTGGAGGATTCCCCTTCTGGGACGGTTGTGGCCCTCTTCAAAATAAGGGATCGAGATTCCGGGGAAAACGCAGAAGTCACGTGCAGTTTAAGTGGAGACAGTCCATTTAATGTCACCCTGCAAGTTGGGGACATCAATGACAATACTCCAGTTTTCCTCCGGACCTCCTACTTGATCCAAGTGGCTGAAATCCCCCCGCCTGGTGCTTCCATTGCTCAAGTCAGCGCCTTTGATCCGGATTTGGGATCCAATGGTCACGTCTCCTACTCCATCATAGCCAGCGACCTGGAGCCTCAATCGCTGTGGTCCTATGTGACCGTGAACGCTCAGAGCGGAGTGGTGTTCGCTCAGCGCGCCTTCGACCACGAGCAGCTGCGCTCCTTCCAGCTGACACTGCAGGCGCGCGACCAGGGCTCGCCCCCGCTCAGCGCCAACGTGAGCATGCGCGTGCTGGTAGACGACCGCAACGACAACGCCCCACGCGTGCTGTACCCCGCGCTCGAGCCCGACGGCTCTGCACTCTTCGACATGGTGCCGCGCGCCGCTGAGCCCGGATACCTGGTCACTAAGGTGGTGGCTGTGGACGCGGACTCGGGACACAATGCCTGGCTGTCGTACCACGTGCTGCAGGCCAGCGATCCCGGGCTCTTCAACCTGGGCCTGCGCACTGGCGAGGTGCGCACAGCCCGTGCCTTGGGCGACAGGGACGCATCGCGGCAGCGCCTTCTGGTCGCTGTGCGTGATGGGCCGCTCTCTGCCACCGCTACATTGCTCCTAGTTTTCGCAGACAGCCTGCAAGAAGCGTTGCCGGACCTCGTTGATCATCCCGACACTTCCGACCCCCAAAGTGAGCTTCAGTTTTACTTGGTGGTAGCCTTGGCCTTGATCTCAGTGCTTTTCCTCCTGGCAATAATTTTGGCCATTGCTTTGCGCTTGCGGCAGTCTTCCAGCCCTTCGACCACTGGCTGCTTGGGGTCGGTTCTCGGCTCCAAGTCTCGACCTGTACTTCCACCTAACTACAGTGAAGGGACATTGCCCTATGCCTATAATTTGTGTGTGCCGGGAGATCAAGCTAAACCAGACCTTGATTTTCTCACATCTGATGGTAATTATCCAGCCATACAAGATATTCTCAACAAAGATAGCTCCTCGGCACTGTTGGCTAGTATTTTATCTCCTGGTGTTGAAGCAGATGAGAAGACCTTTAACCAGGTATTTAATATTATGCTTCTTATATGTCGGTATGCCAATATACTCCGATACAGTACTGATATTTTAAGGGTTTTGTTTTGTTTTGTTTTGAGAGAGAAGTCTATAGTCCTGGCTGTCCTGGGATTCACTGTGTAGACCAGGCTGGCCTAGAATTCACGGAGATCTACCTGCCTCTGCTTCCTGAGTGCTGGGGATAAGAGGCAAGCCACCTGACTGGCTCTATTTTGGAGCTTAAAGCTCCTATGAGTAATCTAGGCCAAACTCATGGTTATCGCTGTGTTTGGAAGGGATGTGGAAGTGTGACTCAGTGACAAAACGCATGAGCATCTGGAATATGCCCAGTTCTATCCAGCATACACAACAAATGGTTGGCAGTAGTTAAATGTGCTACGGTGTAGTATGCTCTAGGTCCTGGCTTTGATTGTTTCTTCTCTCCTCTCTCTTCTCCTGCCTCCAACACACACAATTATATGAAAATCTCACGTGAGTTTTTCAATAAAAGGCTTTGCAGTTATGGGTATGAAATACTTATATTTTATTATCTTTTAAAATGGGAGCCATAATGCTATTTAAAATTTGAACAAAACATTCTGTCTTTATTTTACTTGTTTAAAAAAAACGAAACTCATTTTTAAACAGCATTGGTGGGGACAGGAGAGATGGCTTAGTGGTTAAGAGCACCGCTGTTCTTTGGGAGGACCCAAGTTCAGTTCCCAGCACCCACAACTGGTAGCTCACTGCCTGGATCCAGTTCCGCCTTCTTATGGGCTTCACAGGAGCCCACGTTCACTTGTGCACATACTCATAAAGAAATGCACACACATAATTAAAACAATAAAATAAATACTTTGGGAAATGTAACAAGAATAATAGCCATGCATCCTACCTGGGGATTTGGGGGACCATGCTGTTTTCACATCCACAAATGTCATGTCTCTTCCATCAGTAAAATCAGTTGGCACCACAACTAATCTGGGAATTTTCCATTCCAGTAGTATTTTAAAACTTTTTAGTTAAACAATTCCATTTAATACCTACCCTTTTCATAAGTGCGCTCGATAAATTTTACATCACATAACTATTGTTGGCAGTTTTCCACTTTACAAGCGTGTATGATCTACGGAAAAGGTGAGTGTGACAATTTCCTCTGCAACAGACACCAGGTTTTTCTTGGTGTTGCAATAATAAGATTGGGCTCTAGGCGCCGCTGTTGACCAAACAGGGAATGGGAGGACAAAGCTCGTGAGCCCTTCTCCCGAACCTCTACCACACAAAGCTGAAAGGGATGGATACTCGCACATCCCAATTCTGAAAATAAGAACACCTCCGTTCGCTTTGGAATATATTTGAAAGGGATGGATACTCGCACATCCCAATTCTGAAAATAAGAACACCTCCGTTCGCTTTGGAATATATTTTGGATGCTGTGGGCCTGGAACATCGTAGACACAAAAGCTGACTCAGGAAAAAATAAATAAACTAAAACAAACCGGCGCCAAGACCCCACGGAACTGCGCTCACACTGGGACATGGCGAATCAGCCTCAGAGCCTGGACCGCAGCGCGCTGGTCCGGTTATGCATCTTCCTGGGAACCTTGCTGACGTTTGGGACCGGGCAGATCCGATACTCGGTGCCAGAAGAAACAGATAAAGGCTTCTTCGTGGGCAACATCTCCAAAGACCTGGGGCTGGAGCCCTGGGAGGTCGCGGAACGCGGAGTCCGCCTC